ATAAAAGTGAAACACTGTTTAAATGGAAATAATCAAATAGCAATGGTTAACAGATTATATATACACAGTGGATATAAAAAGTCTACACACCCCTGGTAAAATGTCAGGTTTATGTGAAGTAAAAAAATGAGACAAAGATAAATCATTTCAGAACTTTTTCCACCTTTAATGTGACCTATAAACTGTACAAACTGAACAACAAACTGAAATCTTTTAGGTGGAGGGAAGTAAAAATAGTGTGCACACCCTTAAAGTAATACTTTGTTGAAGCACCTTTTGATTTGATTCCAGCACTCAGTCTTTTTGGGTATGAGTCTATCAACATGCCACATCTTGACTTGGCATATTTGCCCACTCTTCCTTGCAAAAACTGTCAGATTGCGAGGGCATCTCCTGTGCACAGCCCTCTTCAGATCACCCCACAGATTTCGATCGGATTCAGGTCTGGGCCATTCCAAAACTTTCATCTTCTTCTGGTGAAGCCATTCCTTTGTTGATCTGGATGTATGCTTTTGGTGGTTGTCATGCTAAAAGATGAAGTTTCTCTTCATGTTCAGCTTTCTAGCAGAAGCCTGAAGGTTTTATGCCAATATTGACTGGTATTTGGAATTGTTCATAATTCCATCTACCGTGGCTAAGGCCCTAGTTCCAGCTGAAGAAAAACAGCCCAAGCATGATGATGCTGCCACCACCATGCTTCAATGTGAGTATGGTGTTCTTTTGGTGATGTGCAGTGTTGTTTTTGGAGTTATAGCCAAAAAGTTCAACCTTGGTTTCATCAGACCATAACACATTTTCCCACATGCTTTTGGGATACTTCAGATGTGTTTTTGCTAAATTTAGTCGGGCTTGGATGTTTTTTGATCGTAAGAAAAGACTTCTGTCTTGCCACTCTACCCCATCGCCCAGACATATGAAGTATATGGGAGATTGTTGTCACATGTACCACACAGCCAGTACTTGCCAGATATTCCTGCCGCTCCATTAATATTGCTGTAGGCCTCTTGGCAGCCTCCCAGACCAGTTTTCTTCTCGTATTTTCATCCATTTTGGAGGGAGGTCCAGTTCTTGGTAATGTCACTGTTGCGCCATATTTTCTCCACTTGATGATAACTGTCTTGACTGTGTTCCATGGTATATCTAATGCCTTGGAAATTCTTTTGTACCCTTCTCCTGACTGATACATTTTAACAATGAGATCCCTCTGATGCTTTGGAAGCTCCCTGCGCACCATGGCATTTGCTGTAGGATGCGACTAAGAAAATGTCAGGAAAGACCTACTAGAACAGTTGAACTTTATTTGGGGTTAATCAGAGGCACTTTAAATTATGGCAGGTGTGTACTGACTCCTATTTAACATGATTTTGAATGGGATCACTTAATTCTGATTACAGCCACATCTCCAGCTATAAGAGGGTGTGCACACTTATGCAACCACATTATTTTTAGTTTTTTATGTTTACCCCCCCCCCCCCCCCCCAAAAGATTTCAGTTTGTTGTTCAACTATGTTGTACAGTTTATAGGTCACATTAAAGGTGGAAAAAGTTCTAAAGTGATTTATCTTTGTCTCATTTGTTTACATCACAGAAACCTGACATTTTAACAGGGGTGTGTAGACTTTTTATATCCACTGTACATACTCTGGCATAAATGGGTAAATACACCTAATTTGAATAACAATGGCTTAGATGTGAAGAGGTCCTTTTAAATAGAAAAAAAACAACTTCAATAGCAATCCTGAGGTGTTTAAAGTTCCTGACATGATAGTAGTTGTCTACTGCTAGCAATGATGGGGCCCATATACAGTAGTGAGTAATGGTATTTCAATGAAGATAACAGCTAGGCTGTGGTAAATGCTCAATGCAAAGATCTCCTGGTACTCAGGTGTAAAGGTGCAGCGTCTCTAGAGTGTTGTCAGAAAGAGTTTGGGCATTTGCCCACTCACCAATCTCATGGATAGCACTGTCTTCTAGGAATAGGGTTCTTGCACTCTACAAGTGTTACCACTTTTTTGCACGGTGGACTATATTGAGAATCATTTAAGAGACTTTTTATTTGCACATGGACACTTTCTTGGTACTTTCAATTATATAATATATGCATACTTTTGTGGATTACGTATTTCATTTATATACTAGATTGTAAGTTCGAAAGAGCAGGGCCCTCGAACCCTTCGTGTATTGTATTGTTACTGTATTGTCTCATGTACTGTTCCCCCACTCTAATATACAGCGCTGAGCAAACCCTTTGGCGCTATATAAACACTATATAATAATAATATATATTTTATTCACTTTGAATTTAACCACTGTATGGTAGAGAGTGTATATAAAAGGGACAAATTGCAAACTGTTGGCGCTATATAAATCCTGTATAATAATATAGCAATCTTCTGGAAAAAACTGCTATAATTTTTTAATCCACCCAGACCAAAGATTAAATACAAAATGAGTGCCAAAGATACAAAACAACATAACAAATATGATGAAACAAAATTCTTCACTGAACAAATGCATTAAAAACTAAACAAAAATTTCCAGCGAGCACATGTCTGTGTCCCTGCAGCAGGTAAATCATGTCAGCCTGGACTCTATGCTCTTTTGTATACATTTCTGACCACCTGGGCATCATGAGTTAAAGATCATTTACAACTGTATGATGATGTATGTGGAATAAATTATGAGTTCCAAACCAGCAATGCATTACAGCAGTGGATTGCAAATCATAAAAAATACTTACACTGTTTGCATACATTTATGGTCCAATAATGTATATAATTCTGTATTTATTTATGTCTTTTATATCTGCCTGGAGTTTAGCTTTAGTAAAATTAACAATCAAGAAGGTGCCTTGGAATCCTAATGTGAACATGTTATGTTTGAAAAACTTTTTAGGTTTGTTTAGAATTTTTGTGTACAGGAAATGTTTTCCTGCAACTTGTGGGTTTTTGCTTTTCACCATTTTTCATCTCTTCATTAAAGACCAGTTATCCTCACCCTATCCAGGTTCTTCGTGGATGCCATTTCCGCCTGCAGGGACCACTAATTGAGCAATGCACATTAACACTCACCAGCTGGTCCTCTTTGCTCCCCTTGGTAAAATGTCAGCCCTCTTCTAGATTCTAAGAGAACTCCTCCTCTGGGTGGCCAATGGGATTGTCCATTCAGAAGAAGAACCCATCCAGGACACTAATGGAGAGAAAAAGGACAAGGTGCTGGATGATCATATAACCATAGCTTAAGAAAAGTGAAAATGTATTATACATTTAGAAAGTTTTGTTTGTTTGTTTTTTAATCCAGCAGTCAGGTATAAGTGGTGGGAGGAGGCTTTATTTTATCCTGGTATTGGGATTTGGGTACCTAACTCTGTCTTCCTCTTCATTAAAGTGATACTAAAGGTATTTTTTTTCTAAATAACAAACATGTCATACTTACCTGCTCTGTGCAATGGTTTTGCAGAGAAGCCCCAAAACCTTCTTTTTTTGGGTCCCCAGGCAGAACTCCTGGCTTTCTCCCCCTGCTGAGTGCCCCCATAGCAAGCCCCTTGCTATGAGGGCACTTGTACATGCTCACTCTCGAGCTCCGCTCTGTGTATCCATAAAAGACACAGAGCATGGCTTGACCCCACCCCCTGTTCCCTCCTCACTGGCTATGATTGACAGCAGCAGGAGCTACTGAGTGATTGAGGAGAGAGAGAGCTGGGAGAGCCACTGCTCTTGTGCACATCGCTGGATTGAGATTGGGCTCAGGTAAGTATTAGGGGGGCTGGGGGAAAGGGGGCTGAACTCTGAAGGTTTTTTACCTTCATGCATTGAATGCATGAAAGTAAAAAACCTTCAGCCTTTAGAAACACTTTAGGAAGGTTGAGTTAAAAAACACAAAGTTTGTTAAGCAGGCATCAGGTTGTGATCTTTCTTTTTACATAATTCTTGCATTTTAGAATTTACAATGTAACTATTAATGCACTGAATATTTGCTCCATATACTTAAAATATTTCAGTGTAAATTACAAATACAGTAAAATATTCTGTATAATATTAGTATGGAAACATAAAAAGATACCTGCAGAGTAGACCAAAACAGGTAGAGAATTTATGGAATGTGATTACAACATTAGTGAACCAAAGGTACAAATTCAAAGGAAACAAGAAGGCTTCTGTTAAATGAAACCTGCTATGAATAATGCTGTGTGATGTGTTTATGTATAAGTGTATATCAAAATGTGGTAATTTTCAGTATATATTTATATGACAAGCAATTTATCTGAAATATACCCTCTAAAATAAGCCACTTCTTGGAGTACAAAATCCTTAGCTCTTTCTACCATTCTGATTTGCTTTAAATTGCTTTGACATTTAGGCAAAACCTTTATAAAACGTTCATTGACTACATCCAAGTGATTTTAATGAGAAAGGTTGGGAGATTTTTAGAAGCAGATCATTTTGTACCATATAGTGGAGCTTATGTTGGAGTGTCGGTAGGAAGTACCTAGTGTATAGGCATACAGTATGTGTTATTAGAAAATATAGTGAATATGAAAATGAATGATACTTATTGAAATAATGAAGCTAGTGGGAGAGGGCATATATGATATGAACAGGATTAGGGTAGGGATAGTACACCAAAGGATTCAAAAACATACCGTATTTTTCACTCCATAAGACGCACCTGACCATAAGACGCACCTAGATTTTAGAGGAGGAAAACAAGAAAAAAAATATTCTGAACCAATGGACTGCAGACATAGTAGAGGAGATGACCAGAGACTGCAGACATAGTACAGGAGATCATAAGAGACTGCAGACATAGTATAGGAGATGGCCAGAGACTGTAGACACAGTATAGGAGATGATCAGAGACTGCAGATATAGTACAGGAGATGACCAGAGACTGCGGATATAGTACAGGAGATGACCAGAGACTGCGGATGTACTACAGGAAATGACCAAAGTCTGCAGACGTACTACAGGAGATGGCCAGAGACTGCGGAAATACTACAGGAGATGACCAGAGACTGCAGACACAGTACAGGAGATGACTAGAGACTGCGGAGACAGTACAGGAGATGACCAGAGACTGCGGACACAGCACAGGAGATGACCAGAGACTGCGGACACAGTACAGGAGATGACCAGAGACTGCAGACACAGTACAGGAGATGACCAGAGACTGCGGACACAGTACAGGAGATGACTAGAGACTGTGGACACAGCACAGGAGATGACCAGAGACTGCGGACACAGCACAGGAGATGACCAGAGACTGCGGACACTGTACAGGAGATGACCAGAGACTGCGGACACAGCAAGGAGATGACCAGAGACTGCGGACACAACACAGGAGATGACCAGAGACTGCGGACACAGCACAGGAGATGACCAAAGACTGCGGACACAGCACAGGAGATGACCAGAGACTGCGGACACAGCACAGGAGATGACCAGAGACTGCAGACCTTTGGGGGGTGGCAGTGCGGACACAGCAAGGAGATGACCAGAGACTGCAGACACAGCACAGGAGATGACCAGAGACTGCAGACGGGGGGGGGGGGGTAGGTACCCGAATTTGACAGGTACCCACTCCCACTTCGGCTGAGTTGTCCCCCCCCCCTCCCTGTAGTCTTGTGGGACATGTGACAGGTCCTAGAAGACTACGGGGCCATTCACAAAGTGCAGCGCTTCACACGCATGTGCAGTGGGCACCCGGCTATGAAGCCGCAAACTGTCGCAGCTGGGTTCCCTCACTTAAGATGCCGGTGCGAGGGAGAAAAGACAGCCGGTGAATGCAGGACACCGGTGGACCGAGGAGCAGGTAGGACCAAGCAGTGGGTTCTTCTACACAGTAGAGCCGAGCGGCCGGCCCGGTATTCTAACATGGCTGCGGCGGGAATACCGGGCCAGCTGCTCCATATTCGCTCCATAAGAAGCACAGACATTTTCCCCATTTTTTTGGGGAAAAAAGTGCATCCTATGGAGCGAAAAATACGGTAGATTCTACTGTATATATTGAGATCAGAATAAAAAGGACCATACTGGAATTAAACAGGATGTGGAGAAAAGAAGACAAAACCTAATATACAGTTGCCTAGGGTAATAATCTTCAGAAAGGGGAGGATTGGATGACTGCAACTGCAAAACGTTTACCAGAAATAAATATAATGTAGCATTTCTTTCCTGCATACCATACTTGAACTTTTCTCATACATGAAAAATCTAGATGAGGTAGTGGCATATGGAACTGTAGGAAGGAACAACATTAGTTGTAAAGGTAACCATTCAACTGATATATAATGTAGCCTAAAATGTAGCTGAACATCAAAAGCAAAAATTTGCTATGTTATAGGGAACAGTTAGAAAGGTTAATTGTGCCTAAGCAGCACTCATAGATATCAGGAAGCAAAGCCTTGCTGTCACCAGCCCCCTTGTCTCATGTCTCATGTCTCCCACAACCAGTGGAGGACAGACAACTCATGGGGCCCCCGGGCAATAGGGGATCATGGGGTCCCTGCGTCCTTGCCCAAACTCAAAAAAGCCTATGAGAAAGGTACCAGAGGCATCTCATGGGGCCACCTACTGACCCCGGGCCCTCGGGCAGTGCCCGAGTTTCCAAATGGTCAGTCCGCCCCTGCCCACAACCCAGCACAGCTAACCCCCTTGCTTCCCACACATACACCATCAATGCACAGAGTTCAGGGTCAGGATTAAGTAAGTCATAGAGTTCAGTATTAAATAATGTATAGAGTACAAGTAATGCACAGAGATAAGGGCGATCCCACAGGGTAATGCACACAGTTCAGGGGTCAGGTCAGAAGCAAGTAACTCACAGATTGTGACAGGTGCCACCGTGTAACACTTCTTCATCCTACCCCTTCTCTATCCTGGTTATCCTCAGCATTGGCCCCAGGAGCCAGGCATCATAGTGTACTACTGTCCTGACACTTTGAGACTTATATACATGTGATGGGTAGGAATATTAGGTGCCTAATTCATGAACCTTGAGAGCTTAAAAGTGCTTCTTGGATGCTGCGCCCCTCCATGCAGGTATAAGGCAAATAAATGTGAGCACACAAAGATGTGATCATTTAGTGGGTGTTCCTCCTGTCCTGACACTCCAGGGCCTCAAGAAGTGTAATTGGAAATCAGAAAATCAGGTGCATTATTTATGCCTTTTGAAAACCTGAAGGTGCTCCTTGGATGTTGAGCTCTTCTATGCGTCTAGGCAGTGAAAAAGTCTCACATGTGGTATCCCCATACTCAGGAGTAGAAGAATGTGTGTTTGAGGTGTAACAGTAATGTACCTATGCTGTGTATGAGAAATAACTTGTTAAAATTAAACCTTTGTAAAAAAAAAAGTAAAATATTATTTTATTTCTACTTTTTTTTATTTAAAAATTTACAACTTAAAAACACACTATGCTTTTTACTAAATACCCTGGAGTGTCTACTTTACAAAATGGGTAATTTTGGGGATGTTTGTACTGTCCTGGCATTTTAGGGCTTCATACACACTAAATCATCACTAAAAAAAATAAATAACCTTATCCAAAAATATAATATAATAGTAATATTCCTCAAATACATATAATCACTCTTACATAAAACATAATAAATGTGCAAGCACTAATGTGCAAGTCAGTGCAAAGTTAATACATAGATCTACGGTGATTTAACATACAAAAAATTATATCACAATAAAAGTGGCAAAGAATGCGCAAAATGACCAACTTCCCTTGAATCATGTGCAACTTGTGAAAATCAAATCCACAAGTGGTATATGGTTCCTGTCAATGTTGAACATACAGTATGTGAGACATAACACGTTGGGCAGGCCACAACCGCATAGCATCACCCCAGAGAGTTCACTCACGTGATTGTATAGGAAGTGGAGTGTTCCTCACATACACCATATGTGTGCATTTTTTATGCTTTTAATAACTTATATGTTGCACAGTCATTGTCTGCATCCTTTCTTCCTGTATGGTAGTATAAAAAAAAAATGTGGATCTGAGTTACCTGACTAATTTTTTTTTAATATACAAACTATGTCTGATCAGTTTATTCTTTTAAGTGGTCAATCTTATAGGGTAAGTGGATTGCTGATTGCGGTGGTTCATGCAAAAATCCTTTGAACAACATAAAGGAGAACTTCTTTCATGTCACTTTGGGGTAGATTTATTACACCTGATATTGTCGTGGATTTGTTTTTCACATTTTGCACATAATTTAACCACTTCCTTACAGCGCCATAGCCGAATGACGACTACAGAGCAGCTCTCTCATTCTGGGAGGGAGTCCATGGACATCCTCCTGTAAATGAGCTTCCCACGTGCCTGCTAGGGCACACATCGTAACTGTAATCGATGTGTGCCTTGGGCACAGAGTATCACAGATGGGGGTAAGGGTCCAATCCCAGTGGCCCTTTTCCATGTAATCGCTGTGTCCAATGACACGATCACAAGTGTAAATAAAGCTGGGTCATCGGGAGTTTGACAGGTCCTTTCCCTCACAAAGAGATGGAGTTAGAGAGAAGGAGATGATCTGTGCCAGAGACAGTGAGTGATTCATTACACTTTGTGATTACACTGCCACACAGTGCCCATCAGTATTCATTAGTGCCCATCAGTTCTGCCTCACCAGTGCCGCTTATCAGTGCTGTCTCACCAGTGATACTTATCAGTGCCCATCAGTGCTGCCACATCAATGCAACTTCATCAGTGCCACTCATCAGTGCCCATAAGTTGTGCCATATCAGTGCTGCCTCACCAGTGTCCGTTATCAGTGCCCAGCAGTGCTGCCTCATCAGTTGAGCCTCATCAGCGCCCATCACTGCTGCATCATCAGTGTAGCTTATCAGTGCCCATCAGTGCTGCCCCATCAGTGGAGCCTCATCAGCGCCCATCAGTCACGATTGCCCATGGGGACCCTATGAGCCCTCGCCACAATATAGGTTGGTGGCATCTCATGCATATCAAGCTACTTTTTTAAAAAAAAGATTCAGCAAGATGGCAGGGTGTGATGTCTCCACTCCCTCTGGTAGGCCTACCACGCTGATGTTATTTCTTCTCTGCCTATTTTCAGCATCCTCCACTTTATTCATCAGAGACTATACCAGGGATTGTAGGTCTGACAGTTGTGCTGTGTGAGATCCCTGAATATTTTTTACCAAACCAATGCGGTCCTGTACCTCAGAGTGTCTCACTGTAATGTTATCCAAAACATGGCAAGTTAATGTGCACTCAGAAGCAAGTTGGTCAATTCAGGGCATAAGAGCAAATATACTGCCTGCAATGGTATCCAGGATAGGCTTTGTGATGGTGTTCGCATCCTGATCAGCCGGAAGAGGGGACTCAGACATAGTGGTAGCCAGCTATGCAGAGGCAGTCGCTGGGGAGGCTACAGATGGACCACAATCCATTCTAGATGCCTGTAGAGCAGCCTCTCCAGAGCAAGGAGGAAAGATGGTGCTGGGTGAGCACATGACCCGCCCCTTCCCAAGGCTCCGAGGTTTCAGGTCCCCCTGCAGTTTTGTCTTGGCCTTTGCTGACATGATAGTCGCCTCAGTGGTTCCAAGAAGGATGGGGAGACTGCCAGTGCCCACGGGATCGGTACAGCACCCAGGAACAGGATGAATATAGCATGATGACTACGGAACTCTCTTCCCACATATCCTTCCTAGCTTGCATTCTAGCCACACCCCGAGAAATAACTTGTTAATATGACAATTTTGTGAAAAAAAAAATTAATAATAGTGTCTTCATTTTCCAAAGAACTGTGGGAAAAAATACAACTTCAAAAAACTCACCATGCCTCTTACTAAATACCTTGGACTGTCTACTTTCCAAAAAAGGGTAATTTGTGGGGTATTTGTACTGTCCACACATTTCAAAGCCTCAAGAAATGAGATAAGCAGTCAGTACATCAGTTGTGATCAATTTTCAATGATGCATAGCGCAGCTTGTAGACTCTATAACTTTCACATAGACTAAATAATATACACTAATGTGGGTTATTTTTACCAAAGATAAATATCAGTATCTGGCCTAATTTTATTACTATAAATTATTTATTTGTAAAATTTTATAATAGAAACTAAAAAAAAAATTTTTTTTTTCAAAACATTCACACTTTTTGCAAAAAAATAAAAAAACCCAGTTGTGATTAAATACCACCAAAAGAAAGTGTTATTTGTGTCACAATTAAGATAAAGGTTTAGTTTGGATACAGTGTAGCATGATTGAGTAATTATCAGATAAAATATGATAGCATTGGCCTGGTCAGGAAGGGGGTATAAAACAGACAGGGGGTTATAACCCCCCCCCCCCTTTACTCAATCCACAATAGTTATATAGTTAGCCTGGCTGAAAAAAGACAAAAGTCTGTCCAGTTCAACCATAAAAAAAGTTATATTCCTATACCCACAGTTGATCTAGATGCAAAACTACAAGTCTCATCATGCCTCTGTCTTTGGGAGTCATACTTGTAACTGTCAATCTTGCAATGCTTCATGCGACTTGTAGTTTGGCAACAGCTGGAGGGCTGCCAGTTTGAA